CATTGCTCCCTGTGTGTCAGCTCTTGTTCTCAGCTCTGAGAATATGGAAGTGAAAAGGGAACTTCCCTGCTCCTGTGGAATTTAGGAGATCAAGAGTTCAAAGACAGCCAGTTACACAACCTGGGCTACGTGAGACTCTGGGGAAACAAAGCAAGCGCATGATGAGGTCCTAACTCTTCATACTTACCAGGGAAATTAAAACTGCAACAATAAGTCAGAGACATGGCTCGGCGGGTAAGGGTGCTTGCTGTGCAAACCTAATGATCTGAATTCAATGGCTGGAAGCTGTGTGAAGGTGGAAGGAGAGAACCAGCTCTCGCAGGCTGTCCTCTGACCTCCATACCTGCGCCATGACATGTGTGTGCACACACAGCTCCTGCAGGCTGTCCTCTGACCTCCACATATAAACCATGGCACGTGTGTGCACACACAGCCCCCACAAGCTGTCCTCTGACCTCTATACCCGCACCATGACATGTGTGTGCACACACAGCCCCCGCAGGCTGTCCGCTGACCTCTATACCCGCACCATGACATGTGTGTGCACACACAGCCCCCGCAGGCTGTCCGCTGACCTCCACACCTGCACCATGGCATGTGTGTGCACACACAGCCCCCACAGGCTGACCTCTGAGCTCCACATACACACCATGACATGTGTGTGCACACACAGCCCCCACAGGCAGTCCTCTGACCTCCATACCCACACCATGGCATGTGTGCACACACAGGCATTTTATATTTGATAGTCTTAAATATTTATTTGTTTGTTCCCTTAGTTATTGATCAATGTGTTTGATTGCTCCATTTAGCAGATCCCTCCCACCACCTCCTGCCCTCCTATCTTCAGCTTCATGCAGAGGTTTAGAAACAGGCGCAGTCAGATGACTGAAATGCTGCCTGCTGCATTTGTAATGAGAGGTCGGTCTCAACCACATAGAGATAGACCCGGGTATTTATTAAGATAACTCCTTGCTGCTTGCATGGGAGAACTGTAGAAACTAAATTCTAGGTAGCTGCATCTTTATTTAGCTCCTTCTTGCACGCACTATATTTGCACTCTCACTTACTGCCTGCCAGACGTGGGCACTACAGAGAACACTACCAACAAAACAAAACCAGGTGCACATTTGAATAGCAATGGGGGCAAGCAAGGCAGCTGCAGGAACAAAACCTGCGTTAACACAGTAGTGTCAAGGTATCTCTAATGATCACCATTAATATGGTGATCTAAAAGGAGTAAGCGTGCACGCCTTCAGCTCCTGTCTTACTCCTGAGCAACATTCCCTGTTCTCCTCAAGAGACCACGCCCACCCTCAGCAATGTAGGTGCGGTGTGTCTGTCTGTGGTGAAACCATCCCCCAGGAAGTTCTGGATCTCTTCCTCCAGGGCTTTCTCAAAAATCTTTATTATAGCCTTTTCCCACTTCCTTCTGGCAATTCATATACTGCATGATGCCCGTGGGGCACACCTGAGCACGTCAACTTAGTGCCTTCCAAGAACAGCCACGCTCCTGTTGATCACAGGGGGCTGAGGCAGGCAGATCTCAGTGCATTTGAAGCCAACCTGATCTACACAGTGTTCCAGGCCAGCCAGGGCTACACAGTGGGACCGTTTCTCAAACAAAGCAAAATAAACACCTCTCATGAATATCTGATGACCTTCCAGCCTCTCCACCTCTGAACCACATTCTGACACGTGATTCTTGGACCAGCAGTGTCCGTCCCTGAGCTCCCACTCAGCAAAGAACAAGCACTACTCGCTGTGGGGATGAACGCAAGCCTCCATTGCGAATGGGGCCTGAAGAAAGAATGGACTCAACTGGGCAGAAGCTCCCACAATAAAGGACCATCTCTGCTTGAAGCAAACATTTACAGCGAGTTACCCATTTCCATTTCCAAGAACTTAAATCTGGGGGTGAAATGGCTCAGCAATGGGCACCGGAAGCTGGGTGCAGAGCATGAGTGAGGGTCTGAGCTCCACCTGCAGACCCACATAGTGGATCCAGAGCAAACCCCCCTCACCCTGTGCGTGCTGTGGCACACACAAAAATCAAGTGCACAGAAACGCAATTAAAGAGGAACTCTCAGGTTTGGGCCTGGTGGTGCAGGACTTTAATCCCAGCACTTGGGAAGCAGAGACAGGTGGATCCCTGTTAGTTCCAGGTCAGCCTGGTCTACAAAGTGAGTTCCAGGACAGCCAGGGCTATATGAAGAGACCCAGTTTCAAGAAAAAAGAAAAAGAACTTAAAGTGATAGAACAGTGATTCTTGCTTTTCATAAGCAAACAAAAATAAGTGGACCCCTAAACCTCCCAAGGTTCTATTATCTAAGTGACTATATTTCTACCCTATACTTCTGGCATCCAAAAATGAAGGCATGGGATTATTTTTAAGATAACTGTAGATAACTGTAGAAGATTCCTTCGTTTTAAACTTTGAACTGAAAAAGCAACACTGATTATTTTAAATAGTTTGCTAACCAAAAAAGGATTGGTAAAATACAATGTTTTAATTGCTTATAATGTTTGCTTTTAATTGTACATAGTGAAGCGTACCTAGGTGGACTTTGCCCATTGTAAATGTATGGTTTTATTATGATAAAGTCAGGAGTGAGCTGACAAGATGGCCCAGTGGGTAAAGGCATTGCTACCAAGCCTGATGACGTGTTTATCTCTGGGACACTCATGACGAAAGGAAAAACCTGACTCTGAAAAGTTGTTTTCTGGGCATTCACAAACACACCCATGGACACACACATATGCACACACGCACACACATACACACATATAGACACACGCACACACATACATATGCATCCACACACGCACATACAAACAAACGTAAAAAAATAAAGAAGAAAAAGATCAGTTAGCATATGTATCCAGAAGACCAAAATAGGTGCAGATAAGGAAAAACATTTAAGTAGTTAAAAACTGAGTTATATTTCCATTAGTTCTAAAAACAATGCTGCATTGGATGTGGTCACAATGGCAGATGACCCTCAAAATTCTTCACTCATCTCATGAAACATAAAAACATCAAGTCTTAATTACCTATGATACATGGAATATAAGAACAAAATACTAAAAAGAACAAACAGCTTAACTAGTTCCACATTGCCATCTGAGGCAATACTTACAATAGTATCCACAGAGCTCTGTCAGACAATGGAAATGAGAAAATACTCACTGACTTGGTTTTTACCCTGTATCTGTCACTACTTGGCAATTAAATAGTAAGGTGACATGTTGACTTCACTGCAATGAGCCACAGTCCCCAACATGTCCCTTCTGTGTGTGTCTAGTCAGGGCCAGACACTACAACACTGTTTCCTCAGAGCTAAAGCAGAAAAGGAGGCAGCAGTCATGTTAGAGTGTGTGCACACATGTCAGGGAAGGAGGCAGCCGTCATGTTAGAGTGTGTGCACACATGTCAGGGAAGGAGGCAGCAGTCATGTTAGAGTGTGTGCACACATGTCAGGGAAGGAGGCAGCAGTCATGTTAGAGTGTGTGCACACATGTCAGGGAAGGAGGCAGCAGTCATGTTAGAGTGTGTGCACACATGTTCCCTAGCTGCCAATCAGCTACTAACCTTGACGCTGTGAAGGGATTCTGGAGACTGCATCCAGGGTGATTAGGAAACAAGACAATTCCCCTGACAGGACCACTGACAGTTCGTAGGACTCCCACACTTCAGCGACTCAGGTCTCCACTTCTGCTCACGGTAATTCTGTCTGTACTACCTCTTTCTAGTTGGCCATCCAACCCTACAGGTAAGTTAGTCATTTCCCTGTAAGAAGCCCCTAAACACATGTAACTTACTAACCCTACATCTGCAGCAAACTTAGCTAGTTCCTGATGTGAAATCATCCAGAAAGACACTCTAGAGTCGCCTTTCACAGGGGACCTTTCTGAGTATAAAGCTACAATGGCAACGCAAAAGCAAGACTGTTACTTCAATTGTTGAAAATGAGGTTCTTAATAACTAATAGATTCGCAGAGTGGCCAGGTGCAGCAGCTTTGGTGACGAGCTTATCTAGTAAGATGTGACAGTGTTAGAATAATGAGGCATGTCTTCACAGGGAGCTAGAACCTTCCCTGCCTACCTTCATTCTTTGCCCACAGTGTGAACTGGACATGTCAAGCACCAGACTCCCTCTCCAAAAAGGACCACATCTTGGAGATGTCACATTAGAACAGCTGAGGCAGAAGGTACCTTGGTCCAGACACGCCAGTTTTCAAGTGTCTGCATCTAAATTGCTTTTGCAAGAGAAGTTGAACACTACCTTGGGAACTGCAACACTCTCAGAAAAACACAATCCCTAAGTGTCTTTCTCTCACTTTCCTGTTTTCTCCGTAAGAGACTTCTACATTTAAGTTGCTGTGTTATAGCAACTTTAAATGTCACTGCTGTGCACAGGGGACACGTTAAATGTTTAAGGGGATAAGAACAGACACACAGCCTCAGTAAAAAGCCCATCCTTATTTTTACACGCTTCTAGGCTTTGGCAAAAGAATATGAGAAAAGTTTTTACCATCTGCAATAAATGCCTTACAAAGCCACAAACTTTAATTCCCATGGAATAGAATTTCATACGGCAAGCCTGTGGTTATATCCAGACTTGCTTGTTCTCACTCATCCCACAGATCTGTCTGCAGAAAATGTACTTTGCTATATCTCCCGATAAGGGCACTCTTCTCCATGGTAGAACCATCTTATTTCCCAAACCAACAACCTCTTACATGTCCAGGGCATATCATTACATTTATTTATTCATTGTGTGTGTGTGTGTGTGCATGTGTGTGTGTGTGTGTGTGTGTGTGTGTGAGAGAGAGAGAGAGAGAGAGAGAGAGAGAGAGAGAGAGAGAGAGAGTTTTTCTGTGTGTGTATCACAGCATAAGTACGGAGACCAGAAAACAACTCAGGAGAGTCAATTCTCCCATTCCACCATGTGGGTTCCAGGAATGGAACTGAAGTCATCAGGTTTGGTGGCACACACCTTTATCTCCTGAGCCGTCTCACGCCTCTCCAGTGTGCTCTGTGCTGAATGCCAACCTCGCAGCCATTCAGAAACATATCTGTTCAGGAGTCCTCTTCACACACCAGGAGGGACACACATGCTGGGCCAGCCTGAGATCTACCGTGTCACTAGATCACAGTGAAGAACCTGCTGGACACATCAGGCAGGGGACAAAGGAGAGAATTACAGCACCAGGCAGTGACAAGGGGAAAGGAGAGACTACAGAGCAGACCTGCAGAGACCTTCAGCTCCTAGGGCTGACTGTAAAAGGCGAGATCAAAGTACTGACAAGGCTCGATCGTGTTCACAGGCCATTCCCCAAACTGCAGCAAATCTGATCCCTCTTGAGAGGCAGGAGGGGATGATTCACAGATCACGATGCCAGCTCTGAACGGATGAACAGCACAATGGCCGGCCTCTTCCCAGCCTGGGTCACAAAGCTGGGTCACAGTGCTGGGCCCAGGCCTCCTTCCTCTCACATCCTCTTCAGCCGGGGTCCTGGCTTCTGAGTTCTGGGCTTTTCTGCCAACACCCTCCTTTAAACACTGATGTTGCTTAGAGTTCTTCTTTCTCTTTATGTCTATTTGGCACCTAAGTCTCTTGCCATTTTGTGTCCACAGAGAAGGAAGTCTAGGAGACATTTGTAAACTTAAAGCCTCCCTCTTCCATACACCACCCTCCCTCTGGTCTACCCAGGACCCCCTGAATTCCCACAGGCATTTATTTCATCAAGTTCAAATCAAGTGTATTGAATTTTTAAGTGGTCCTCCCTCCCTGTCCTATGCCTAAGTCTAAGCTGATTCCAATTCAAGCCCTGGCCCCACCATGCAACCAGCAACCAGGGCCTTGGCCATTTTTGCCTATTTGTCTGCACATCATCTATGAAGTATGGGGGAGGGGGAGACACCTCAAAAAGAAAGTCTGAAATTCTAGGAGCAAAATGGATCAGTGTGCCCCTGGGGATCTACAAAGGGAGATGGGTCTTAAGCCCAGAGCTTGTAGGAGCGTTGGAGGGGGAAGAGCCTGTGTTCTGGCCTAAAGGCAGACTGCAGCAGCCACTGCAGGAAGAGGCCACAGGAAGAATTAGCAAGGGCTGCCTCTCCCCCTGCTGATATGAGTTCCAGGGACCCAAACCCATCACCTCCAGGCTCCAGGCAATATCGGGAACTAGGTACGTACTGCAGAGTGCAGATAGGACCCCAGCGTCCTTTACGGTCCTAGATGCTCACACTTGAGAATACGAATCCTGGCGCCTGACCTGCTACAGGTAGTGAGTGGTCACCAGGTGGTGGGTGGTCACCAACTAGGTATGGGTGGTCACCAGGTGGTGGTCACTGGATGGTGGGTGGTCACTAGGTATGGGTGGTCACCAGGTGGTGGATAATCACCAGGAAATGGGCGTTCATCAGGTGGTGGGTGGTCACCAGGTGTGGGTGGTCACCAGTTGTGGGCGGTCACCAGGTGGTGGTCACAAGGTATGGGTGGTTACCAGGTGGTAGGTTGCTACCAGGTAGTGGGTGATCACTGATGTGGGAGTGTCATATATCAATCTGTTGATTTCATTGGCTGAGCAATAAACTGCTTGGCTTAGCTTAGAGCATAGATGGGAGGAGGAAACAGAATAGAATTCTGGGCGGAAGAGGAAGTGAGGTCAGACACTGCTCTGCTCCCAGAGAGACGCCATGCTCAGCTCTCCTGGGTAGACTCAACGATGGATGGAGGCTAGAATCTTCCCGGTAAGCGCACCTTGGGGTGCTTACACACATTACTAGAAATGGGCTAGTCCAGGTGTGAGAATTAGCCTGTAAGGGCTAGAGTTCATGGGCCAAGCAGTTCTTTAAATGAATACAGTTTGTGTGTTGTTATTTCGGGCATGAGCTAGCCAAGCGGCCGGGGTGTTGGGGACGCAGCCCCGCCGCTCCATATTTCAACAGATGGCGCCCAGACGTGTGGACAACTGAATCCACAGAAAGCCTGAAAAAGCTTGGGAAAGAGTAAAGCATGTTTTCTTCGTAGCAGCAGTTTCTCGGGTCTCCTCTGCTTGTTAGAAGCAAGCAAACACTCTCATCTAAGAGAGGCTTCCTGACTCAGCTTCAGCTGCAAAACCCTGCAGCTCATTAAGAGGTCCTGCCACAAAACACTTAAACGGTGTTGACGAAAAGCTGAACGCATGCTTTTCGATTTTCAGCTGTAGCAGGAAAAAAGCTGTGCCGTTTAAAAATGCCGGCTTTCTGGGCTGTCCTGCCACGTCAAACTCTGACTCTTTTACGCAGGCGGTTCGTGTGGTTTGCAAGCACAGGCTGCTGAAGCTCGCTTGCTGGCAGGGACCTTGAAATGCCATAGAGTTGTGGCAGTAAACGTGGCTACAACCGGTACCTCAGCCATGAGGCCGGAAAGCTAAGGAATGGACTGGATCTAGCTGGCAAAGCCACGGCTTTAATCCTACTCATATTGCTCAGTAATTTAAAGGCTCGTGTGGTCAGAAAAAGAGAGATATACAGTAAAGAGAGATTCAAAGACAAAGAAAATTTTAAATGATTTACAGTGTTAAAAATGTATGCAGACTAAAAGTTAAAATTCTTAAAGTAAAAAAAAAAAAGAAAAAGAGAAGTTGTGTGTGGTAGTACACGCCTTTAATCCCAACGCTTGGGAGGCAGAGGGAGATTGACCTCTGTGACTTCAAGGTGTGGTAGCACACGCCTTTAATCCCAGTGCCTAGAAGGCAGAGACAAACAGATCTCTGTGAGTTCAAGGTGTGGTAGCAAACACCTTTAATCCCAATGCCTGGGAGGCAGAGACAGGCAGATCTCTGAGAGTTCAAGGAGAGCCTGGTCTACAGAGTTATTCCAGGTCAAAGAGATACAGAGAATATAAAATTAAAAATAAACGAAATAGAGGTTAAAATAAAGCGTACAAAGATGGAAAATACACAGAGAATCTTGATACTGTATACTATTATGCTCTCTTTGAATTGTTTGAATGCTGAGGAAGGAGCAACAGCTGCCAAAAGATATTTGTTTATAAATGCTGCTGAACTAATCCATCGTAGAGATTTTGATGCCTTGACTTTGAAATTTGGATCTAAGGACATGATACTTTGGAAAGGAGTTTCTTTTTTTGTTTTCACAGAGGATGAGACCCTGTTCATTTCTTCTATTCCGATATGGTATGATGGACCACGCCCTCCTGAACGGTTGCTGTGAATACCTTCAGAAAATTGCTTCGCTCAACTGCCAACTGAGATGAAACTAGCACACAGGTTATACCATGAAAGACCTAATTAACGACGCCCCCATTCAGCAGGAAGCAGTTTGGAGAGAAAAAACTGCGCCCATGTTCCCAAATATTGTTTATAAATGTTCTTTTACATTTAAAGGGGGAGATGATATAGGTATGAATAATTTACATTGATATGGATTTTGCTTTAGTGATTTAAATTTAAGGTCAATTTTGTAATGCATATAGGTTGTTAATGAATAATCATTAATAATAGTTAAGTTTGTAGTCATGTTAGTTAAGATTTTCTAGATGTGCATAGATATATTTTAGATAGGCATTCTTCATATTTTTCAAAGATTATAGAATATGGCATTTTAAATGTTTTAATAACTTAGGACTTTTCATGACAATGAGACACTCTGCTCCTGGCAGCACCAATCTACTTCAAGAGGAAGATGGGCATCGAAGAGGATCCTTATGGAGTTTGATAGCCATTTGGGCAAGAAACTGCTCTTGCCTGGACTATTGCATAAACTGGACACAGAGAACCCGCAGAGAGAGGACTGCTGAACTTGCCTAAAGGTGAGATGATCTTTCGGGGTTCCTGATTCATGAAAGAGTCTGCAAGACATTCTTCAGGACAAGCAGATAGTGACTGCCTTTGAAATTTCCTGCTTTGTGGAAATGTCTGCTGGAAACTATGGGCCTGTAGGCCGAAGATGGATGCCCCAACGGTACAGAGGAACTTTGGGTGACTGTCCAGGCAGCGAGATGTCTCTGTCATTTCTAGAGCTTTGGATGTTAAGTTAAAGCCTTCTTTTTTTTTTTTTAAACAGAAAAAGGGGAAGTGATGTGGGAGTGTCATATATCAATCTGTTGATTTCATTGGTTAAGTTATAATAAACCAACTGCTTGGCCTCAGCTTGGAACATAGATGGGAGGAGTAAACAGAATAGAATTCTGGGCGGAAGAGGAAGTGAGGTCAGACTCTGCTCTGCTCCCGGAGAGACCCGACAGCTCTGCTGGAGCAGAGACGCCATGCTCAGCTCTCCCAGGCAGCTGCAACCCACGATGGACTTAGGCTAGAATCTTTCCGGTAAGCGCACCTTGGGGTGCTTACACACATCATTAGAAATGGGCTAGACCAGGTGCGAGAATTAGCCTGTAAGGGCTAGAGTTCATGGGCCAAGCAGTTCTTTAAATGAATACAGTTTGTGTGTTGTTATTTCGGGCATGAGCTAGCCAAGTGGCCGGGGTGTTGGGGACGCAGCCCCGCCGCTCCATATTTCAACAGATCACCAAGCAGAGAGCACAGCAAAAGTCTGTGAATGGGGTAAGGCTCTAGGAACATGTGTGATGGTGCCAAGATATCACCAAGACTACAACAGAGGAGAATTTTCTTAAATGTCCTGCATGGGGGCTGCGTTCTGGTGTATGCAAATCACAGCCTTTTGGGAGGCTAAGGAAGGAGAATATCAAGCTTGAGGCCAGATTGGGCTATGCTACAAGACCTGTCTCAAGAACAAATTAATTTTAAAGAGGACTATGGAGCCTCATGCCTGAAATCCCAGCACTTGGGAGTTTAGAGTCAGGAGGATCAAGTTCAAGGCTAGCACTGGTTACATGAAAGAGTTTTTGGAGGCCAGCCTGGGCTACATGAATAACATCTTGCCTCAAGAATAATTTGAGTCCTACAGTTAGATCTCCTTGCTGTTCTTTATTAACCTGGACCTCATTTAAAGTCAGGCCAGTGGGGTCTGGGGACCCATGTCGTCTTGTTCTTCCCTTATTACTCTCACTCAGAGCTTTTTCCCTCCTCTGCCAGACATCTCTTCAAATTGCAGTCAGAGAACATTGTCAAACGTAACTCCAGTGGTGTCCTGGGCTCTGGAGAAAAACCTGAAAACGCTACCAGTCAGCTGTTAGAT